GCATTACAATGCATTATCAGGCTTAATGTAGGAATTGAGGATAATACAGGGGGAAATAGGTGATTTATGATTTTGTGAGTTAAGATGATTTTTTTTAGTTGAGGTGATCTTTTTTGAGTTAATGTGATTTTTTTGATTTAATTTTGGTTTTAGCTGAGTTAAATCAGCTTTTCCCCCTTGGATTAGATCATGAATCATTTTGTTTTCCAAATATGAAACTATTTTCATACTATTGAAACAGTCTTATGTCATATATACGCTCTTCAACTGTTTTCGCTTTCAACTACAATTCGACATGATCCAAGTGGTAAGTTTGAATTCAATAATAAAAAAGATGATTTATTCATTGTCTTTTGTTTTAGATTTTTATCAATGGGGTGTGGTTGTGGGTGGGTGGGTGGGTTTGAGTGTGAACCTCTCCATCAACACCCGCACCCGCACCAACAACCACACACCCACACCCTCGAAATTAGAATTTTTTAGTCGAAATTGAAATTAGAATTTTAACTGGGATTTTGTTGGACACAATTCTAATTTGAATTCTGCCTGGACCAAATTCAAATTAGAATTTTGACTGAGATTTTGTTGGACACAATTCTAATTTGAATTCTGTCTGGGCAAAATTCAAGTTAGAATTTTGCCCGGGCACATTTAAAATTTGACTGGATTTGAATTTTGACCACAACACATATATATATATACAGGGTGGACCAAAAGTCACTTTACCGATAAAGAATGGAATATCTCTGTAATGGCTCAACCAAATGGGCTGATTTTTTAATCAGCAATAGAGGTGTATACGCACTCTATATCCTATGAGCGAAGTAAGACAGAACCTTTAATAAGTACTATTACTGAGCTCAACGAAAAAAATTTATGTTTTCAGAAACAGAAAAAATAATATATGATGGAGAAAATCCAGTTTATCACGAAATAATCTAATCAATAGAATGAACTTATTATTACCACATGCCATATATTCATGTATCTTTTCTCTTCGTATTTTTCCCAGTCTGCACTACGATAGTTTATATTGATAGATAGTTCATTCGATAGCCATAAATTTTTTTCTCTCTCTTGTGTTACTGTTCATATTCATTTGCCGTCTCTGATTATATTTGCTTTGTGTATTATCGGTAAGTCTTGCTTCTATCTGCTATTCATTTTTCAGTCTATATTCGGTACACAATCCTTATTCCAGGCACATACTTTTGTAGATGCCGAGATTCATGACAAAAGAACAAAGGATTTTTATCCTTAAATTTTGGTGGGAATCAGGAAGAACATTACAAACATTAAATACAGCTTTTCGAAGAGAATTTCCTGGTGAAAAAATTCCAACTCGACAAGCAATTTACTTATTGGTAAAAAATTTTGAGGAAACAGGTTCTGTTGAAGATGCATCACGAAGTGGAAGGCCGACAACAGTCAGAACAGAAGAAAATATTCAGCTTGTATCTCAAGCTTTTCTTCTCAATCCACACGTAGCTATCTCAACGACGTGCTGCACTTGAACTTAATATCTCTCGTACAAACTTACGACGTCTTATGAAAAATTTAAATTTAAAACCATTTAAGCCAAGACTGTTACAAGCCTTAAATGAGAATGACCCAGATCGACGACTCGAATTTTGTGAATGTTTGTTAGATTCGGCTGGAGACGATCCAACCCTATTAGATCGAATTCTCTGGACAGAAGAAGCCTCGTTCCAAACGAATGGTCGTGTTAATAAACACAATTGTGTTTATTGGAGTGATACAAATCCACACTTTATCATCGAACAAGAACTCAATGTACTCCGACTGATTGTTTGGGGAGGAATATGGTCATACGGTGTTGTCGGGCCATTCTTTTTTGATGATAATGTTGCATCTCAAACTTATACCTGCGTGTTGGAGGACAACATTATTCCACAACTTCAAGACCATCCAGCTTTTCCAACAATGATCTGACAACATGACGGGGCACCACCTCATTACGGTCGAGTTGTACGAGATCTTTTAGATGATACATTCTTATACTGGATTGGGCACCGAGGTACTATTGAGTGGCCTCCACGCTCTCCTGACTTAACTCCTTGTGACTTCTCGTTATGGGGGATTATAAAAGATCGTGTCTATTCACAAAGTCCTCGTGATATAAAGCATATGAAGCTCTTGATTAAAGACGAATTTGCATCAATCAATAATAATATCGAGCTATGTCAAACAATCTGTCGTTCTGTAGCTGATCGTTGTCAAATATCTATGGATGCCGAAGGCAAACAATTCGAACAATTTCGCTAAAGTATTTTTTTATTTTCTTTGAAAAATAACAAGAAACATATGGGTAAATGCATAGTACTATGCTTTTTTTGTCAATAAAGAACTCTGACATGTTTTTGATAAACAAGAAAGGAAAAATATAACTCAAAATTTACACTATTTCGTGATAAACTGGATTCTCTCCATCATATATTATTTTTTTCTGTTTCTGAAAACATAAATTTTTTTCGTTGAGCTCAGTAATAGTACTTATTAAAGGTTCTGTCTTACCTCGCTCATAGGATATAAAGTGCGTATACACCTCTATTGCTGGTAAAAAAATCCAGTCCATTTGGTTGAGCCATTACAGAGATATTCCATTCTTTATCGGCAAAGTGACTTTTGGCCCACCCTGTATATATGAGGGTTGATGAAAGTTAAGAGGTTAAGTTAAAATCGAGAGATGTATTAAAGTTAAGGGGATAGATATAGATACGTTAATAGATTAAGTTTAAGGGTTAAGTGGAAAAGAGACATTTCGCACTAACTTTTCATTACGATTTGCCCAAGGAGATGTTTGTTACGGTCTCCTGACATTTAAAACATACATGAACTTCGGAATGACAAAAATTTTAAATAAGCAGAGTGTTCGGAACGAAATGTTCACAAGTTTCATTCCGGTTTCCCTGTATTTTGTTTAATTACGATATCCTGAACAACATGTGTTACGCACTCCCGGTAAATGTTTTTAAGGTAAAAACCGATTCCGAACACTTCAACGGGTTACCGGGTGTCCGGGACACTGGTGCAAAATATCTTCGTCCCGGTTAAGTGAAGGGAATAAATATGCAGAATCCCAGAGATACAATTATGGTGATTAGGATATCGATTTTATAGGATTTTATAGATCTTGTGTAGCAAGTGCCGAATATGACGTTTTCAATGCATTATCATGTAATTGCATACATTGCATTTCTATTCTAAAATAATGCATTGCAATGTCCATTATTTCATAAAATCGACTACATGGGAAACGCCCACCCTCTGATCGATCTAAAACTTTCAGAATATGTAGATGTTCTCCAGTAGATGAGATATGACTTCAAAACGAAAATTAATAAAACTGTTTGTCGCAGCCACATGAGATCTCAAGGGCTCTAGCTGACTTTAGACTCGATTGGTGAAGGAGTAAGTACACAATTGACCTGATCGGGTTGAAACGGAATAACTAGACACTAGATACATATAGCAACCGATAGCTATTGACTTATTACTCTAGGTTTCTTCCCTAACTGTTTATGATTGAAATAGAAGCGTGTAGAATAAAATGACGACTTCTCTGATTCATCGGCATTTTAAATGTCATCTAAACAATTATGCAAACAATTTAGAAACAAAACTAACCAAACATCCACACACGGCTTGCATCTGGTACACGAAGAAAAGCTTTGAGCTGAGTCCTATCTGTTTTTGATTTATGACGCAGCGAACTAGGGTATGGGTGTGGTGGTGGGAGTAGATCGAAGACAACCCATTCCTACACCCAGAGTATTTTCCCATGTCTACTTTATGATCAGACTTTGACAGCAGACTTTTTTTACTATATGTTCGACCAAACATTCAGAAGATAGCTTCATAATAATAGATTTCACTTAACCAACATACTAACTGGAATCTATTTAATCATGAAACTTTTTTTTTTCATTCTCAAAATAGCATTTGGTATTGTGAATAATTTTATTTAATTATAATGCGAATGCTTTGGTTTAAAACATGAAAAATATACATTTGATGCCAACCATAGCTTTCATGATGCAGTGTTAGTAATGATAGTGTGAAACATGATACAACAAAAAAACTGAAATAAAATATTTGATGCTTTCTCGTTAATTATATGAATATCTGTAAAAAGTAATGAAAATTATTTTTTTCTTTTCATTCTAATAAGTTGAATATAAGCTAAGACGAAAAGTCCTATAGTCATTACTGTCAATGCAAAAAAATTCTTCCATAAATCCCATGAACTAACATGAGTGAGTTCTCGCTTGGCGAGTACTTCTTCACCTGTCAATGGACAAAATTCGGTTCCATTTGATGAACAGAAATTAAGACCTTGAAATTCACTAATAGTTAATACATTCGAAGCATATCGAAACGCACTAATCCACTGCATCCATGAAAGCCAAGGAAAAATGCTCGGTAAATCGATAAGAAATCCAGTAAACATCATCATAATGACAAATATGAGAATAACAGTGATTAGAGCCACAGCTGCAATGAAAAGATACAAGAGAATATTTATAGACATATACAAATTTTGAAAAAATTCTAAATGGTTACTACAGAACAAAAGTTAAACTCAACTTCAGCGAAAGGGGAAGAACTGCTTTCTGTAGCAGAGATCATCAGAAATCCTTGGAAATCACTTTAAATCAATAAAATGATTATTTTTGTTTATATACTTACTTCTCAGGACTACTTTGAATGTACAATGAAAAAGAACCGAGGATAGATGTAGGTGTGGATGGCTGTGTGGTATAAGTGAATGCTCATATTATCTATTCTGAAATCCGCATGTACACTCGAAACGGTCACGATGCATAAAATGCAAATCTTGAAAAAATTTATTTTAGCTATAAGTTTTTTTTTAAGTTAAAATTTCAAGCATCTTATATAACTTAAGTTTAACTATTTATCAAAGTAATTGTAAAGTTAAAAAGCCTTTCCTATTCTAGACCTATTTGATACTAATAGTTTGGTAACACTGAAATTATTTCAGAGGAATTCCGATCAATTGCAGGATTAGTTAATACTAAATGGTATTGACATCATGACATGCCTAGCTAATAATACATTCGTGACGTTATGCGCAAAAATGATCTTCAAAATCTGTGAAACACTTACATTAATACATTTCTTTGCACGCATATGCGCCTGTTACAGTTACCAATTAAAACGAACGAACCACAATCCACGCTGAGAATTTTTCGACGACTAAGGCTTTATATATTCAAAAGACAAAGTAACTAGAAAATCTTCTTGCGCTTGAAAAATCATAAAATTATTGATAGTCATGACGAAGTCGACTATCTGGACTATTCACTGCCGGGCCGTCTTTAGCTTATATATTTGACTGTGTGATACACTAAAGCTAGTTCGAGTCGCAATTCAGGTAGCAGCAACATAAACACAAATTAAAAATCGATCGAATGGTACTGAGCTATTAATCAAAGTTTTACCCAACAGAAATCATACATGAAAATTACTGATAATTTTACATATATTGAGAACCACATCTATATATAATTAATTTGCACATCTAGGCAGAAAAGTGACATGTGAAGAACAAACATTTCCATAGATTCACACCAGAAAAACATATGTCAAGAATATATGGAAGCATATTAAGACAGAACTGTAGACTGGGAGTGCTTTTAAAAACTAGTGCAATTAAGCATGTTCTCTTGGGTACCATACTGATTTCGAATTCACTCACAACTGCACCTACTGTAGCATACCCAGACCTAAATAAAACTACATACCACATCTAGCACATGGATCGAAACTTCTCTACATAACTTATAGTCTTAACCAAAAACTGTGTTACGATTGGTAGTTTCTTCAGATATAACTTTATGTCTAATTATTTGTGTCAATCAAAACATATGACAGTGAATAAAAGCTACAAAATATAAGTATTTCTCTCTTTGATTTGAAACCGAACATATACCCTTCAAACAGTACTTCTATAGGAAACGATTTTTCAAGAATAAGTTGTTAGTCATTAAGTTGTTCTTCTCTGGAAAACCCATCCAACTCACGCAATTGACCGACAAGTCTCTTTCAAGATCAGTTTTTTCTGCGAGGATTTGATTCGTAAAGTGTTTTTTTTAGAGGGAAGTACCTGTTGTCAAATAAAAATGCGGCTGAAAGAGCCGTTTCAGATATAGATTGTTCCAAGCATGATCCCTACGCGGTTTTGTGCCTATAGGACTACGTTCTTAAGGATTCTGATGAGTTTCATTCGTTTCCGATACGTTAATTTTGTGGACAGAAATGTCGTTTCTATCTTCCCAATGATTGATTTCGTCAAAAACTACATATGATTACCAGAGAAGTGACAAGAAAAGGATGACTTTAAATGAACTCCTGGGATATTCGGCGGCTGGTGTTGTCTGTTCGACTCAGTTTGGCGCATTTTTCTGCAGTACAATTCATGTGGTCTCATGATATTTGTCAGATGAAGATAATATCAATAGAAAGACAAAGTAGTATTCAATGATATGACGAAAAAAATGCATTCTTTGATTTCTATTAACAGCCAGTTTTTTCTCTTCACCTTTGGGCAAATGCTTTTAGTAGAATTTTACACATCTAGTGCAATGTTTAATTGTAAGAGTAAAGATTGTCTTGTTTTTCAGTTTTCTGATATTGTTTAATTTTTTAAATTTCCTGAACCCATCGAATTTGTATCTGAGGAAATTCAATATTAGTAATAAATTTATAGTTTTAACTAATCTCTCTTGCTTCAAACTCAAAATGAGAGTATGGCTTTTATGCTTTTATCGTTTACTTAACTACGTGGCTTTTGTTAAATAATAATATCGTGAACATAAGTAGAGAAAATCAAGTATCTTACCAAAGACAGGTATAGTAGCTGCAATGAAGAAGCATAAAGCTGATCCAAATAGACTGGTCATAAAGACTGTTAACAGATAAATAAAGAATTGGCCGCTTGTTCGAGTTAAGCCTATCATAAAATAGGAGATAACAGAAAACAAAACGGCTGGTAGCACACGCATAGGTAACAAGTCGCACACTAATTTGGCTATGAAAAATGTGAAGATTCTATAGTAACCACTCGCACGTTCCTACAATATATGAAATAGAATGGCTTGTATAATCCTTGAAAAAGAAACTTACGTGAATGAATAGTGCACTTTCACCGATGAGCGGCTCAATCGCTGTCAAATTGCTAAAAGTCTGACTCATGATAATGAAAAAAATTGCACCAAGCCGATTTTGAACACCAGGTTCAATTGTTTTCTTCAAGTCATAAAACAATAGTCCTACTAATAAACCGATAGCAATAGAAACAAGTGTTTGTGACAGTGCCAATGCTGGATTGCGCACAGAATTTCGAAGTGTTCGTTGTGATAAATAAAATATTTCGGCCACAACTGAACGAGCTGCTTCTATCTTATATTTTTGCCGTTCCTGTTCAATATTTTCATCATTAGGTAGATTTTTTTGTGAGTGTGAGAACGCCAATGCATTTGCGTGCGTGCTATTGTATACATTATTTAGTCTTACCAGTGTTTCTGGCTTTCGACTAATATCAATCAAGACATCCAGTGCATAATCAGCTGGATTGTCATATTGTTCACATTGATATCCGTGTGTCGCAAAGAATGGAACAACATTTTCAGCTGAATCATGATAAACACATCGACCTTTGCACATGAACATTACAGTGTCAAATATTTTAAAGATGGAGTAGCGTGGTTGATGAATAGAAAAGATGACAGTACCTGCGGTTTTAACAAAACATACGAGTTTAATACATTTTTAAGTAATAAAGATTTCATGAAAACACTTACGTCCTTGTCGAGATAGATTTTTTAGACAATGCATAACACTACTTGCTGTTGATGCATCAAGTCCTGTTAATGATACAATGTCTCATTATGCATACTATGATTAAATAGATTACGATTATGGCATAGTTAATTTTGTTCTAATCGTCAGTCTAGTAATTCTAAAAAAGATGAACGTTGAGCTCTCAGGATCTGCTGGGTTTCGAAGTACTACTTCTTAAGACACATAAGACATTTCAAACTAACTATCTTACGAATTAGATTTCAGTTTATTATTTATCATCATTCTAACAGAAACTTCTTCGAAATCAAAGTCGAATCCTTACACACTATCTGCTTTTCATGAATAGAATATCCACCATGTGCGGAAGACAGAGTTTGAAGATGATCGAAAAAATTGATTCATCAAATTTGTCATGTAAGATCTAACCCGCCGAAAGGAATCATGTTATTTGATATTGAAATTCATATTCTAGGTGATTATAATTAAGGTTGGATCGACATTGGTTTTGAGGACTCTATCGAACGCTTAATATGATGCTTATATAGTCTTGCCTGTGGTTGGTTCATCAAGAAACAAGATCTTGGGTGATAAAACCAATTCCATACCAATACAAGTGCGTTTTTTTTCGCCACCAGAGACGCCACGAATAAATTCTGTACCTACACGTGTATCGGCACAAGCTTCAAGGCCAAGTTCTTTAATGACACGATTGACACACTCATTCTTTTCAGTTATTGTCATTTCTTGTGGAATACGAAGATTAATTGAAAAGCACAAATTTTCACGAACTGTTAGTGTACCACTACAGATATCTTCTTGAACGACATAACCAACCGTATATCTAAAAGATGGATGGCGTGGCTCCCCATCAACCTGTACAAGTCCAGAAAGACCTCGGGGATTTTTTCGATCAGCCAGAACATCAAGCAGTGATGACTTTCCACATCCAGAAGGGCCTTTACAAATCAAAACCATGAAGTATAACATTTAAGAAGAAACTAGTATGACTGAAATTCTTACCAAGTATAGCATTCATGCCATTCTTGAATTGCCCTGACACATCGAACAGAACTTGTTTCGGTTCTCGAGCTTTAAAGAATGGAAGTTTTGCATATTTCAGACATTCTTTGCTTGATGCTGATTTGGATCCAACTACATAATTAATATTATGAAATGTAAGTGTAGCCGAAGCATGCTGAGGAATCGACATTCGGTTTATACCAGTCACTCGCCTAGCTAACATTGAACGTTTCGCTACAAGTTCACTAGGATGAGTTCTAGTTTCGACAGAAGGACTTGTAGACACAATTGATGTTAGTACCATTTGATGAGGATCGATGTTTGAATTCATTTGTCTTTAAGAGTAATGAAAAATGGAGTAAAAACAATAAGATTCATAGTTCGAACTTATTTCTGCTGCTTCTATACTTTCCTGATCTGTATAATCGGCATTAAAATTGGCAAGTTCAAGCAAAATACTAGGCACTTGGCATAATAGTTTGAAAATAAACTTTTAATAGTTTTTGCTGATATTGCAAAAACGATTTTCATTCACATGGTAAAAATGCGAATGTGATTCTTCGCTATATCCGCTTCTACAGATATTTCCATGCATTGTACCGAGGACCTTGGCAATTTTTACTATGTTTCAAGGATTTTTCTATAATTCATAACGATGGGTCATTTATGTAGCATAATTTTTCATGACTCAAAAATAGCTCGAAATTGAGTCAGAAATTTAGTTTTACTCGGGTTTCTATCAATAGAACGCGTCACATTTCATAAAAATATACTATGTGAGAGATATAAAACTTGATTTTGATTGGGGAAATTCCAAATGATTAGTTTTTCGAAAACATACAATTATATCTGACCGTGCTAATATGCTGTCAGGTCATCGTATATATCGCTGTTTCAAAAATGCTAAAAGTAATATTTTGTTTCTCTTCATGTAAAATAGCCTATAAAAACCATAACTGGTCATCTTGGTATGGTTTAAAATGGCCTATGTTTCTCTTAACATCTAGTAGAACAATGACAGTGTTTTCCGCTTACCTTGTGAGTATATCAATTGTTTTTTTATGACTGATGAGAAGGTAATTTATAGTGACTTTATATCAATACGTCGATAATAAAAGTCATGAATCCGTTAAAAATAAAATTCACTTTTTGGAAAACAATTCTGTGAATATCATGGACACAATCAAAGAAGACTGGCTTGTATGTGCAGATGTAGATTATAAAACTTCCCATTTCAAATATCATGTACATGATTTTCGAAATGAGTAAAAAAGGTAGACATGAATTACATAGATTGTATTGAAAGTACATTCAATGTTGAAATATAATGTTTCATATCGATTTCTCTCAAGGGAAGTGAATGTCTCCTGATACTGCCGCATAGAGTTTCAATGTCAAATTTTTCTCTTATTCCATATATGTCATTCG